GTACCGACTGAGCTACAGAGTTCTGTTTAGAAAGGGATCATATTTCATTAATGCCGTTTATTTTCAAAACCATATCCGAAATCTTGTGTCGATAAGGAGTAGAAGTACTCAACGTCAACAAGTAACATGTCACATTTTCGGCAAAATTATCTGCAACTGTGATGAGTTAAATTTTGAAAAGTGTAACTTTACTATTCCTGGCCCGCATATCCGGTGCAAGGACCTGAACTGCCTTACCTGCCGGTAGTGGTTGGCTGGGGGCCTGGGGCCTGACCAATAAGTCACTATTTACTCGAATATTTTCGTAGGCTTTTAAGTGGCTCTGCACTGTAAACTTCGATATGGAAATTTTTACGGACAATGAGGTATTCCGGACGAAGCGCCGGAAACGAGAGGTGAAGATTTCGCTGGCCGAATCTCAGCCTCAGGGCTTCTAGATCCGGTCGTCTGCTGTCAACTGCACGGTGGCGTACGGTTAGGTGGTGGTCTCGATTTCAATCCCGATTTTTAGAGTGAGAATATCATTCAAAACACTTTCACTGGCACATTCACACGCAATAACCTGAAGCATAATGTCGTGGCTAACAAACGCGGCAAAGTAATGGACAGCAGACGCACGGATACAGAAGCCATGAGGCTGAGAGCGAACCAGCGCCATCTTCGCCGCTCGTTTCCAGCGCCAAGCTTACCGGGAATACCCTATTTGAGGGAGGGTACAAGTTTTGGCCACAGTGGCCAAGGTACAAAACATTGGCCACTTATCGTGGCCGTTTTGCATGGCGCGTGCCGGATCACGGTGGGTGGTCGTGGTGGTCTTTGGGGATCGTGGTCAAAATCGTCTTACAGGGTACGGTAAAGTGCCGAATAATGGCCACTTTACGAGCACGCCCTCCCCTTTCCTTCACCAAGTCTCAACTATACGTCACAGCCGTACCAAAAAAGTTCATGGGTGTAGTAGAAGGATCAAAGAACATGCTTCTGTTCGAAAAGAACAGAAAAAAAAATTTCTAACGCTAACGCGTTAATCGGCCCCTAACGTTTTAACGAACAATCGTTAAAACTTGATGGTTAGTGTTGTGGCTCTTCGTTCTGAAGTCACCACAATAACAAAACCAACAGCGATGCAAGCGCCTTATAGAAACTACTTAACTTTTACTCATAGTTACAATTATTCAAACACATGTCATTTAACCACCTCTGAAGTGCACGCGAAATCGCTAAAGAAGGAGTTATTAGACGTGGGTTGAACATAAAAGTGAGGAGAGTACATCACTCAATTTATCCAAAAACATGAAGCGAGTTCGTTTGCAAAGGTTGGTACCATTGTTAGAAGCCACGCCTCCTTTCTACCCAGGATTGTCGTAGCCACGCCCATTTCTAAACAAACTGTGCAGCTTTGATTTTAAACCGGTAGAAGTTGTAATCGGGATATCTTCTGGCATCGATTAAAAGCTTATTCGGTGGCTTAAAGAACGGTGCACAATCGGCTCGCTTACACTTCCCTGTTTAAATCAATACTAACTGCGCTAGAAATTAAAAACAAGACACGAAGAATAAGCGTAAATGTCGCATATTGTTCAGCTTGCTGTCGTTCTCGTCTGGAACGTCGCACGAAAATTTTGAACATATCGTTCGGAAGCTTAATGTTTGGTCTTGAATTTTTGTCTTATACGTTTTACTGTTAAGTGAAAATGTAAGCCGCAGGGATCAACAGAAAGAATGCTAGAAGTGCGAACCATTGTTGGCTTGGCAGGATTTTGCCGATTTTCGTGATAATTTCGATGTTTAACTTTAATTTTCTCAAAATTGGCCAGAAGGATTGTAATGAGGCTATAGTCAAATGAAATCTAATTTTTGGATTGATTTTTCGATAAAATTTTATTAGAATCTGTACAACAGAAGTAGCGGTACCTTAATGAATGAGGGAGGGAAAAGAGGAAGCACTCGCACGCGAGCAGAAAGGCCCCCTTGGGGGGGGCCTAAAAAGTTCATAGAGAAAAAATATGTGAAAGAATCACTTGATTTTGCCCATTGATTGCCACACTTATCCCATTGATGGCCACCCTCAAAATTACTGGAATTGGCGTTACTGGGTCGTGGCAGGACAGCTGTGTCACGTAATGGCTCGAACAGCAGTTCCTTCTCTGCATCCCGGTGAGCTTTTTATGACACATGTGCACTCTAAAGCAGGCTGAATAGGGTATTGGTCTAGAGCGCTGAGCGGAAGGAGAAGAACAAGAACGGAAGGTGGAAAGTCGCCCGCACTCCTCCCCGCCTGCCGCCTCCTCTTCTCCCCGGGCGCTCCCCCACTCCGCCCAGTGGAGGAGAGGGGGACGGCACGGGCACCTTTCCACCTTCCGTTTTTGTTCTTCTACTTCCGCTCAGCGCTCTAGACCAATACCCTATAGACCGTTCCGACAGTGCGCTTTTTGAGAAGAAATGAAGAAGTCGGGACCGGAACCAGTACTTAAATTGCGCTTATTATTGTCATTTGACAGTGTAGTTCGGCGTGAATGACCTCGATTAAGTCTCGAGTAACTGTCAATTTTAGTTTTCACTTATTTAAGCCATTATTATAGATCTGTTTCAGGTGGTGATTTCATTAATTCTTCTTTAAACGGGCACTGCCGGAACCATCTATTCAATATCGGTGCCCGTTCGGTGAGGCAACTCGTTAAATTAAAACCATGGGGGTACAAGTTGTGTCTTTAGGAGCCAAAGGCTTATCTACGACTCTGCCTTTTTCCCCCTAGGTAGATGTATGCCAGGCGCGTCGCAGCTTCACAGTGTTTCGTGAGATATCGCGAAGCCTGTTACGCGAGACGTGGTCTGGCGTACATCTACCGAGTTACTGGCTGAGCGATTAGCGACGCCCATTTCTCCACTGACCGGAAAAGCTTCATTCTGTTTCTTGGTCTGTTTGTGCGCACGATAACCCGAGAAAGAGTTGAGATAGCGATCTAGGAATTTCAGGGTACTTGTGTATCATAAAAAGACACATCGAGTAGATGAGCATTCTAGCTCAAAAATTGACTTTTACAAAAATCAATAACCGCACGTCACAAAATGTATTTTTTCCAAATATTTTTTACAAAATTCGAAGGGGTAACTCAAGAAAGTAAAATCCTGCAGAGGAAAATTTCGTCCGTTTTGCTCTGTCTCATACCGTTTGGGTACCAGGTGGCATTTCTTGATGAAAATAAGGTGAAAATGACCAAATGGTCCATTAAATCGTAAAATTTTATTAAATCGTAAAATTTTATAAAATTGTAAAATTTTAATAAATCATAAAATAAGGTTAACTATAGTGTGGAAAAATACCTTATTAGCACCCTACTAGCGAAGCCCATTACTCGACTGACCGAAATAGCTCCATTCTGTTCATTTGTTTGTTTGTCCGCACGATAACTCGAGAACGAAATGAGCGAGCGACCTGGGCATTTCAGGGTCGTTTTGTATCATAAGAAGACACGTCGAGTTCGAAGATAAGCATTCTAGCTCAAAAATTAACTTTAAAAAAATTAAAAACCCACAGTTTGAAAAATGTGTTTTTTGTGTTTTTTTAGATATTTTTAATGGGTTTCTAAATGGTAACTAATACAAGTAGAATCTTTAGGTCGCAAATTTCACCTGTTTTGCTCTATCTCGTACCGTTTGGGTGCTAGGAGGCATTTCTTGACGAAAATAAGGTGAAAATGACCTAATGGTCTATTAAGTTGTGAAAAATGCCTTATATATTGTAAAATTGTGCAGACAGTCCCCGACAAATACTTCGAATATGTCAAATTTTGGGCCCGGAAGGCCTTGTTCCCGTATACTCTCCCATTAACTCGTCTCGCGTGTCAGCGCCGCAGGCCTAGCTATATGTGCGCCAGGCGCGTCGCAGCGTGACAGTGTTTCGTGATATATCGCGAAGCCTGTTACGCGAGACGTGGTCTGGCGTACATATAGCTAGTCATAAATTAATGCTTGTTTCAGACGTAACTCTAGTTTTGATAGTATTAGTTCAACAGATTGAAAGCTAGGATTCGATTCAGAATGTGCCTTAGGTGTTCCCTAAATTTTCGATTTAAGACCACCTTTTGCGCCTTTAAGTAAAACTTTGACATTTCCGTCTTACATTCGTCCAAAAACATGTTCAGTGCCTGGTCGCGAATCAACTTCGTCTCTTCAGTTCTCGAATCGAGAAAATGCTGTAACAAAGCCAGAGCACGACCGCAGCTGATTTGCCGAGGTTAAATTTTGCTGATTCAGCTATTTTCAGGAATTTTCAGATCTGATTTGAACTGAGCCGAAGAGTGTTCTCATCGGTCAATTAGCTAAGGAATAACTGGGCGTATTATCAGTATTCGTCAGTAGGCCTAGTGGGCAGCGGCCCGAGAATTAGTGACAAATACTGAGAGTATGTTGTCAGTTAGAATCAGCTTGATGTCAGAGCCTGAGTATAGCTGAAGTACGCGGTCATGGCTACGTCAGTTATTGTCTCCATATTTAGCTCCTGTATTTGACGCTGGCAAATACTGAACGCATGTGCACAACACTATCGCCTAGTTGTTAGCTCGGAGTGGTGTACTCAGGTGAGAGCAGTGTGACAGCCCTGCCTCATTTAACATTTTCTCCCGGGGTGGGATTTCAAAAGATACATTTGTTTTATGGCCTCTATTCTGGCAATTTTGTACTGCAAAGAGTTATTTTCCTTGAAAACAGCAAAGAAGACAAAACTTTTGTATAAGAAAGAAGCATCTTCCTAGTTTAGAAACAACTGCTACGTTACAGGAAACGTATTGATTTTAAGACACAAACTGGTGCTTTGTAGGACAAAGCAATGCTTTAAATTACAAAGCGATTTTCCGTAATACAAGGAAACCAGATTCGTTGTCAGCTCAGATTCTGTGTAAGGTTGTAAGCTGGGAGAGACAGTCTTGAAGGCTGTCTAAAGTATCAAAGAAATCCGGGTTTAAGGTAGTCCCCTGGACTAATTTTGCTGCTACTGCGGTCACCTAAGCGAAGGTTGAGAGGAAAACAAACATGCCCACCGCGCACGGTGAGCCACTTCTCTGTATGTATATTACGATACGGCTACTGGGTCTACAATATACTGTACTACGTCACGTCGCACTGAACGTGCCACAGCGTCCCAGCTGCTTCTTGGTGATGGTGCACCGCCAGCGTGAGCGCTCAGTGTTGCGAGAAAGCACTTTGTGCAGGTGCTGCGTCGTTCCGTCGAGGAGCGGCGGTTGTCTGGCTTGCGTGCCCCGCACTGGCGTTGCGTGTACCTTAAATCATGCATTAGCCACACTGCTTATGCATGGCGGACCCAGCTCACTGCATGGGTGGTGCACACGCACCATTAAACGGGGAAATGTCCTAGAACAAAAGGTTTGAGGGCGTGCTTGTTTTCGTGTTATTTTAGAATGGGGAAACAAAATAGGATTTGAATACATGGAGTATCGAGTCGAGTGACATATACATCCCCAATGCCTCATTTTTTTCACAGTCTCTTGCGAACTGGCTACATTAAACAGAAGTAAAGCCTGTCGAAAACGGTGACTTTGCAAACACTTGGCAACGTGCGGTGACGGAGAAAAATATTTAGTTGGGACAGCGAACAGTTACGTTGGTTTTCGGATAACTGAATTATTTTCGACAACGAACAAACTGTCGTTGAGAAAACTAGTTTTATCAACTGATAAACTAGTTTCCATAATGAAAAGCTTTTGATGTCTGCACAAATGCGCCTTTTGTCCACTTTATTATAGTATATACTTAGTATACAGATGATTATAATTATCTGTATGTACACAGGACTCAACAGTTTCTTTCGGATAGCAAATACCATGGTGTTTCGGAGAGAGAATCTTCATTAGTTTACGATCAGGTGATAACGGAACTGACAAGACGGAGTATCTTTTTTGCGAAACTTCGGATACACGTAGACGCGCCAGCCACACTAACAGGAGTAAAAAAAATCCCTTTCAGGATTCGGGGTAACATTATTACACGTAGGGCCCCCCATGCGTTAACATTGTGCACGGGGTAGCTAAGCGAAGTGCATTCAAATAACAGAATACGTAAAAAATGTTGAACAAAACTATAATGAGTGTGGGTTCGTCTAGTAGGTAGGCAACCAACCCCATTATCATCCTCTATTTAGAGTAAAACAAAATATTTTCTACATAAACTTTTCATGTAGAATTTTAATTTTTAAAATTCCGTCAAACCACTATGTCAATTTGTAGTCCTTGATGAACTAAAACAAACAAGCTATTGGCCAGTTTTTTATCACCACTTTCTCCGGAGAAATCCTGCGCGTAAATTTTAAAAGAAGATATCCTATCAAAATAGAAGTAAACACTTGGGACCTCTTTAAAGTAAAGTTCATGGCATTCTGATATTGTTATTGTGTTAAGCCATCCCTTGTGTAGAGCAATGTACCCTCAGGTTTCATCCTTTCACCTACAGTGGCTCAGAAACTAATTTTATTGACAAATGTACCAAAAATGCATTTTGGGAGATAGAAGCCCCCCGTTTTTTCCCCTGGCGTGGGCGTACAATGGCCCTCCTTGCCCACCGGTTGTAAATTTACCAAGCTGTCGGTGGAAATTGCGATGTGCGGGTGCGCCCGGCAGGAAAGAAGTACAGATAAACTGCATTCGAAACTGTACTTGCCTAACTATAGTTGCTAAACTATGGTTATGATTGTATTTTAACTCCAATGCTGTTTACAATGACGACTACATGCTCAAATAACAGTAAGATATATAAATAACACACACTTTTACTGCTCTCGCAACTACACTTGAGAATGCACACCGTAATGTAAGTGGCATATTGAGTTGTTGCTGTACTTTAAAAGCAGATAAATTGACGATATGATTCGCTCTTTCAATTGTACTTCGTGAATTCGGTCTGTTTTACATTCCATACGCTAAAAATATAGAGTTAAAAAGAATTGTGATGACTGCTTTCGGCTGTACAGTACATATGAGCGGTCAGTTTGCAGAATTACTGGTGTCCGTTTTAAAGTATAGTCTGTTTTTGGCTGAACATTGCACCTGGTTAACAGACTGGGCAGTAGAGGCGACTCATCACCCTATCAGGTAGACATCCCGGAAAGTCCCGTTCGGCCCCACCCCTTGCACACTTACCGTGCTGCTGGCCGGGAGCATACTACTAAGGGCCGAATGGGGCGAAAGGAAATACCCCGAACCAAGGCCTAGCTACCTACTCAGGAGGGTGAGTACATGTTTCCCAAACTGCCGGTCGTGCTTACGATGCTTTTTGACGCCTCCCCAGCTAGAATACTTCTACACAAAGATATTGATATTAAGCGTAATACGAATACATGCATATAATGGCCGGTGTGCACGTGTAGTACACTGCTTCTGTCATGTGAACCTAGCAGCAGGAGACGATTTATTCGGTTGTGGTAGGAACTGCAAACGGTGTATAAAATGTAGCACAACTGTAGCTGGACTGTAGGTCGACTGCTGTTGTCGGACCGGAGCGCTTCCCGTATGGAACACTGTGGCCGTAAGACAGAGTTTTCTGGTCTCATCGGCGAGTCAGGGAAAAGATGGTCCCGCGACGGTTTGGAGCCCGTGGGGAGACCGTTGAAAGACGGGTGGACGACGGTTGGTCCGGCTCACGACGGTCTTTCTACCAGCTGATTTTCGCGCTCACGGCTGTCTTTTTTCCGTCTCGAAAAAGTGCATTTTAAAGACGGTTGAGAGACGACTTGGCAGGCTGGGCCAGGGAAGGGGAAGCCAAAAGGGGAGCCCTGCCCAGCGTCGAACGCATGTCGCTGAATTAGGAGTCTGTGACGGTGCCCACTTGGCCAGAGCGGTTACCTGAAGGAGACGAGGCGGACGGCGAGTCCGAATCGGCCGGCTGCTTGCGCGACTTAGGCACCCACGAGGGTGACTACGAATTTTAACTATGTATAGCAGTAAGGTGCTTGTGCGCGACCATGCGTCGCTTAGCTAGGAAGAGCTGCTATAATACGAAGAGCCTTCAAGTGTGTTTAAAATATACGACGAAGCTTCGTTGTCGTCGTAATACGAATGAATGCTTCGGAGACTTTAAACAGCGTGGTCGCACATCGCACATATCACCGCCGCTTGGCTTGCAGCCCTCGTTGAGAAACACCCTCTGGGCGAACCGGCGCGGCGGGTGCCGGTGCGAGCCGCGCACTTCAAGGCCTTCTCTTCCACCATGGCCGAGGTGGGCGCCGCCGGCGCTACCATCAAGGGCATCTACGAAGCGCTCTCGCATGCGGCCCCGGCCCCTGTCCCACGCGTTGTCATGAAAGATCCCGGCGTCAACTGGAGTACTGTCTGGCAGAACATCCGCCACAAGGCCATCCCCGTCGACGCGCAGGAGAGCTGGTATCTGGTCGTGCACGACCTGGTGGTAACGCGTCACCGTCTCCACCGCTGCAACAGGGCGCCCTCCAGGATGTGCCCGCACTGCAACGTGCCGGACGTGCTTCTGCACAGGTTGGTGTCGTGTCGGGAGGCGAGGGAGATTTGGAGGTGGGTGCGGGTCATCCTGGCAAGGACACTCGGGGGGCGTCCTGTTCCTACCATCTTGCTGCAGCCGGACTTCGCCGCGGAGGCGGGGGACAGGCAGGCGGCCGCGCTCTGGGCGTGCGCAACGGCGGTGCACTACACCATCCGCACCAACACGCCGACTGCAAGGGGGTTCGCCGCCCAGGTGCACAAGTCCAGGAAAAAGGTCCTCGACGATCCGGACAGGTGGCCGCCGGAGCTCGTCACGGGCCTGGCGGCGTGGGTCGATGATTAATCTCTGCTTTTCTTTGAAGGACACCGGCGAGCGCGCAACGTCACCTACCAACCTCAGACGTGGTGCGTAGCTGGCAGTTTACCCCGTCGCGTTCGCGCTGACCCCTGAGAAGACTCGCGGGCCAAGCTCCACCACCACCGCCGAGAGGGGCAGCCAACGCGGCGCGGCTTCAACAAGTCCCCGGGTCTGCGGGCCGGAGGGGGGCCACTGTTGTCGCTGATCAGCTGCGTACCAGCGGCCGCCGGTGAGTCCTGGGGGGCGAGGGGGCGGCGGGGGGTCAACGTCTGAGGCTAAGTGTGCCGTTCGCTACGTGCAACGTGTACACTCCAGACGCCCCTCCGCCAAACCTGAGCCGACCCCTGCAAGACCCAATTAATTGCCTGCATTGACGGAGAGGGATGAAACGGGGGAGGTAGGGACGGCTGCTGAGGCTAAGTGTGCTGTGCATGCGCGGTACGCTCCAGCACGCCCCCTACCAACCCCAACCCGGACCCGAGCAGTAAAACTTAAATTCGCGATTGAGGAGCGACAGGGGCGGGAGGGACCGGCTGCTGAGGCCCTTGTGTGCTGTGGTTCGCGGCACACCCCAGCAGGCCGCCCGACCAACCCTTAGCCAGGACAGAAGCTGTAACAAGATTTGATTGCAAGAGCAAGTTTGCAGAGCACTGGCCGAAAATGGCCGCATCGTCGTCACCGCTCCTTTTTTTTTT